GGTTGAGCTATAGGCGCCGAGCCAGTACAATGGTTCTTAACAGGGTACAATTTTGCCTGCCAAGAAATGTGTGGTAATGTTAGAACATTTTTGATTGTCATGACTTGGGAAGGAGGAATGTGCTATTGGCATTGAGGGGATAAATAACCACTAAACATCCTACCATGCATGATAAAGAATTATCTAGCCCCAGGCAGTGCCTGTGGCTCAGTGAGTAAGGCAACAGCCCCATGGGTGGCAGGTTCAAACCCAGCTCTGGCCAAACTGCAACAAAAAAATAGCTGGGTGTTGTGTCAGGCGCCTGTAATCCCAGCTACTCGGGAGGCTGAGGCAAGGGAATTGCCTAAGTCCAGCAGTTGAAGGCACCATGGCACTCTACCAAGGGCAATAAAGTGAGACTCTGTCTCTACACACACATACACACACACAAAGAATTATCTAGCCCCAACTGTCAATAGTATTAAGGCTGAGAAACCCTGGTCTAGAGGCATACAGGTGAATGAGTGTCCTTTATCTATTAAGCAGACAAACAGTTCTACTGTTTGCTAGGGACTGAGCTAGCTGGGAAATCAAAAATGATTAAGACCATCTCTGGCCGGCACCTGTAGCTCAATGGCTAGGGCACCAGCCACATACACCAGAGCTGGCAAGTTGGAACCCAGCTCGTGCTTGCCAAACAACGACAACTACAACCAAAAAATAGCCAGCGTTGTGGTGGTGCCTGTAATCCCAGCTACTTGAGAGGCTGAGGCAAGAGAGTTGCTTAAGCCCAAAGGTTTGTGGTTGCTGTGGGCTGTGATGCCATGGCACTCTACTGAGGGGAACAGCTTGAGGCTCTGTCTCCAAAAAAAAAAAAAAAAAAGACCATCTCCATCCTCAAGTAACACAACTGGGTGGATGATAGAGAAAATTACTATAACACAAAGGAGAACAAAATGTGAAATGTTTAGATTTACAAGTAATCTGTATTTGCATAGGAAAATGGCTTTGAATTGAAGATGGAAATAGAAATAGGAGGATTTTACAATAAGAAAAAGTAGAGGCTCGGCGCCTATAGCTCAACCGGCTAAGGC